CCTCCCCGGCTCTCGCCCACCGCAGCCTCTTGCTGCCCGTCCACCAGGTCCAGGCATGCCGCACTAACGCAGCCGCGTGGGGCTGGCCGCCGGCGCCCCGGCCCCTCGACGCCTGCCAGCCCGAAGCGGCATTTTACGAGGGACACTTCCTCAAGGTGCTCTTTGACCGGATGACCCAGATCCTGGACCAGGTAAGGTGCTGAGGCTAGCCTGCCTGAGGTCAGGAGTAAGAGGGTGCCTGGGACTTACCTGGCTCCAGAAGTCCAGCCGGGCTCTCTAGGGAGCTGTAATAAGATACACGCTTTGCACAAGGGGTCCTGCCAACACCACTCCTCCTTACTTAGCAAGAAAGCCCAGAAGCCTTTGGGTCCCTTAGAAGAGCCTGAGCAGAGCTGAGCCTCCCCTTGCTCAGGCTGACGTCCCATTGCGGAGCCCACGCCAGCTGTCCCCCCCTCCCCGTGAGGAGCAGGACCAGCAGCCCCTGATCTCTGCCGAGATCCTCCTGTAACCTCAGCCTGGATTGGTGGGAGCCTTTCTGAGAATGTTCCCAGGAGGTGGCAGTTCGCTAGCAACTCTGCCCTCAATAAAACAGCTCTCCTGGATTGCAGCCATCCTTTGTCTTAGCCAGGGTCTATTTGAATAGAGGATGCCTTGCTATTGTTAGCCTTGCACCCCCGGAGCCTGGAAATGCAGCTGACCTAGGACTCATGTCGGAGGGTGGGGGGGGAGCCCTGCATGGGTTGGAGCCCTCCATTGAAGGGGTCCCAGCTGTGCCACTGGGGCAAGGAGGTCTTGCTCAGGTTTGCAAGGCTGAGCACGGGTCCATCCTCCCTGAGATACCCCTGGACCGCAGATAACTGGTGAAGCTGCCGAGAGCATCAGCACGAGCTGCTGGACTGCCAGGCACTGGCCATGTTGGTAGACAGACGTGTTCTGCTCATGTCTCCTGAGCTCCTGGGTGGTGGGAATGGGCTGAAATCCTGGTGGGGGCATGGCGTGGGGAGCTGGCCCCAGGCTGGCTGCTGCTGAGCATCTTGTGTGTGTTCTAGCCCTACAGCCTGAACTTGCAGGTGACCTCGGTGCTGTCCCGCCTGGCTGCCTTCCCCCATCCCCACCTGCACGAGTACCTGCTGGACCCCTACCTGAACCTAACGCCTGGCTGCCGCTCGCTCTTCTCTGTCCTTGTCCGGGTGAGGTGACTGGGTGTGGGGGGGAGGAACGCCCCTCAGTCACTGGGAGTGACCCTTCCCCCCCGGGTGCCTCGGCTAGGTGATGGGGGAGCTCATGCAGAGGATCCAGCGTGTGCCGCAGTTCAGGGCCAAGCTGCTCCTGGTGCGCAGGCAGCTGATGGGGCTGGTGCCTGGA